CACACACACACACACACGTCTGGTCAGCTATCCTTGTGGGGACTCTCCATAGGCGTAATGTTTTTTCTACTGTACAGACCGTATTTTCTATTGCCCTACACCAACCCTACCCCTTACAGGAAACTTTCTGCATTTTTAGATTTTCAAAAAACTTCATTCTGTGTGATTTATTAGCTTGTTTACCCATGGGGACCTCAATTTAGGTCCCCACCGTGACACGAGTCCCCATGAGTGTGTGTATTCAGGTTTAAGTCCCCACCAGAATAGAAACACGGGCACACACACACACACACACACACACACACTCACACACACACACACACACACACACACACACTCACTCACACACACAGGCTGAACGTCTCAGTCATGTCTCTCTGTCTCAGATCTAAGGTTTATGGTAAAGTAAGATGAATGTGTAGAGGTGGTGAGAGTGAGGACAGACGTTCCACTCATCATCTCACGCTGGAAACATCATCAACATCATCCTCCAGATCTCACCTTTTTAGGATGCATGTTGAATTTCTTCTTGCCGCTACAGAAGCGTTTCTCCCTCTCCAGCATCTTACTGTGAAAGAGTCACACAAAAAACAACTTCACAACCAAAACATCTAAGAGACGATTCAAACAACCTGTTAACTGAAATAGAGCTGAAATAATATATAAATATTAGATGAAAAACTAAACAAACATTTGAAATGTTGCCACGACTGCTAACTGAAATAAAGAAAAAATACTAATTGGAAATAAAACTAAAATTGTATCTAAAAATCTAATAAAAACATAAATGACCCTAAATAGTCATATTTTTTAAAAACAACAACAGAAGAATAAAACAAAAAAACAACAAAGTTTATAATAAAAATGTAACAAAAAACTACATTTTGTTATTTTAAATAAAAATGACAAAAGCATGTAACAAAATGACTAATTATGTAACTAAAATGAAAATATCAAAACTCAAAATATGAATAAAAACTATAGCAGTAGATAAATAATAATAAAATAATAGTAAAATAACACTGTTTTGAACTGTTAAATCAGTAAGTGATGATGAGATGAAGGCGGTCGGTGTTGTGTTAGTTAGTTAGTATTGTTGGTTAGTTAGTGAATGATGTTGACTGTGTTTCTCTACTCCTGTGGTTCCTCAGTGTCCAAATGTTCGCCGTGAAGCGTTGTTTCTCTGATCATGAGACAAACATCACTCACTTGTCTTCTGCTGATTTGAAATCCTGGATATCTGTCATGACGTTTTCAATCTGGTTCTTTAGTTTCTGTAAGAAAAAGATTTTAAGGATTCAGAACCAATGATTAACTCAAACATCGTCGTGTGAAAGCAACACTATTCAGGTTTCTAAAGCTCATTTCATAAGACATGCTTTTGTGTTATACACCGAGCAATAATTGTGACTTCATTGTGAGATTTTGTGAGAGGTGACATATGACCCAAACATCAGATGTGTGTGAGTGTGTGTGAGTGTGAGAGAGAGAGAGTGTGTGTGTGTGTGTGTGTGTGTGTGTGTGTGTGATCAAATGCCCCCACGAGGATAGTAAAACCTGAAATTTTTGACATTGTGGGGACCGGCCTGCGGTCCCCTCGAGGGAAATAAATGATTAAAAATAGTAAATTATATTTATCTGAAAGTGTAAGAATGCAAACAGGTTTTCTGAAAGGGGTAGGTTTAGGGTTAGGGGATAGACAATATCGTGTGCGTGTGTGTGTGTGTTTGTGTGTGTGTACTTGTTTATGCTACATTGTGGGGACCAAATGCCCCCACGAGGATAGTAAAACCTGAAATTTTTGACATTGTGGGGACCGGCCTGCGGTCCCCTCGAGGGAAATAAATGATTAAAAATAGTAAATTATATTTATCTGAAAGTGTAAGAATGCAAACAGGTTTTCTGAAAGGGGTAGGTTTAGGGTTAGGGGATAGACAATATCGTTTGGTCAGTATAAAAGTAATAGAAGTCTACGGAAAGTCTCCACAATTCACAGAAACAAACGTGTGTGTGTGTGT